CTGTATAACAGATGTTAATAGAACACATCCACCCCTCAAAAATAAGAGTGGCCACTGTATTCTGCTGTCCACAGAATCAAGAAGCACACTTACTAATGGAGTGGGAAGGAAAAAATAAATGAAGGAGTGGGAAAACCAAAGACTGAAACAGTCAAGATAAAAAATGGAGACAAAAACAATTTTCCTTCAGCTGGAGACTGGGCCCAAACCACACTGGTTTGTCTGTCCAACTAAAGAACCCCGAAAGCCTGATCACCTTCCAGGCACCTAACTGCAAGCTGGAAGACTTGTCCTGGTTAATATTGGCACCCATCACCTTTTTGTACCATTCAAGTACCTTCTGTACCACCTCAATGTCACTGTGGCATGACACGAAAATGGATACATCATTGGTATACAGAGAAACCCTGGCTCAGTGCCTCCAGGGATAACAATTCCATGTAGAGTTGGACTGTCTGAAAGAGGGCTCCAATGCAAAAGCGTAAAGTAGGGCAAGAGCAAACAACACTGTTCGACCAACTGTGACAGTGCAAAAGCATGCCATTCACCTGTAACACAGCACTGGGGGAGCAATACAGGATTCACTTACTGAAGTTAGGTTTGAATCCGATAGCCTGCAGGACAGCAGCCAGCTTGATCAGTGCAGCTTGATCATCATCTTCTACACCCTCTTGGACCTCTGTGGCTCAGATGAATGTTGCTCTGAATTCTTTGTCCCTTCACAGCACAAGTCTGCTTGGGTCCCAACTAACTCTCAGCAACCGATTGCAAACGCTCTGTTAGGATCTTAGCTGAAATCTTTAACTCTGTGTTTAGCAGAGTTATGGGCCTGTAATCATCTAAATCACATCCAGCATCTTTGCCCTTGTTCAACAGCATGATTACACCCCTGGAGATCCAGTCAGGGATGAACCCTTGCCAGAACCCATTGTTGAATATGACAATCAAAATCAGAAAAAAAATGTGTGACAGCCTCAAGTACAATTTGTAAGGCAGACCATCAAAAACCTGGAGACTTGCCACTGCTGACCCTCTTCAATGCCAAGTGATCTTCACCCTCTGTGATCTCACCCTTGAACTAGCCACATCAGTTGTCTCAAGCTGAGGAAAATCAGCCAAATAGCTGTGAAACACATCACCACAGAGACCAGACACCTTGGCAAAATGGCTCTCAAAATGCCTCACACATGCCTTTGGTCAACCTCAGAGTACACCTCTCTGGAGTATCGACCTCCCGAATGTAATGATCAGGACCTTCACAGATCTGCAATTCTGTGCCCATGTCCACAGCTTAGACATCTTGTTTAATCTATGTCTACCTGGTAGCACTTGCTAGCCTCATGCTCCAGAGCCTGCTTGGCTAAACCTATCTCTAGGGAATCCATCCCAGCCTCTGCCAGAGACAGCCTATCCTTAAGAGACTTCACATTTTTAGCTTTATCTAGGGCAAGGCATTGGTTATATTCAATGGTGAAAGCTATCCATAAGCCTCTCCCACCACCTATTCCCAATAACTGCCTCCCCAGTTCCTGCTGCACATGGCCACATCTACTCTGAAGGACAAGAGATCATGAAGCAGGTGGACAGCCTTACCCCAATCTCTCAAGCCCCTCATATTTAAGATGGCTAGATTGATTTTTTAAGTGAGATCCCTTATCTGCAGAGGTCAAGATATCAATGGATTGTCCCAGACTACTGGTACCAATGTAAGATGTAATTTGTCTATCCGAGACAATGCTACTAATGTCTATTGAGAAAGCAAGCTTTAATGCTCTATATAAGGAGGGGTGGAGCAACACTGGGACCTCTTGGCCATTTTCTTCAACTCTGGAGACTATCTGTGCCATCCAGAGCTTTGGATATGCATCCTTGGCCCTAGCCAAGTGGTCCCAAACTTTTTGACTACACAGAAAATCTTTTCCCCTCTAGGAAAATATCTTTTCTTTTTTCCTTGGGGGAAAGGAAAAGACAGAGCCCTAGAAGGGGATGAAGGGAGGCTCCTTGCCTTACTTGGCAGCTAGTTTTTGTTGATGAAGCAGGGGTGGATTGGGTCTTGGCTTCTTGGTGTTCTCCACCCTCCTTCATTCAGACTTCTTTTTGGTGACTTTTAAGTTTTCTTCCCTCCCTCTTTTCAGTGTGGAAGATTGAAGTGGAGGTATTTCCTCCATCTCCATGAAAAGGTCAATCTGCAGTAACTCCATTGGCTGCTGTGACTTAAACTGCTGCTGCTGTAGTTCTTGCTGGGGTGGTTGTTCAAACCTGTTGCTGCTGCTCTGGCTTCTCCCACTGTTATCACTGAATTTGCTGCTGAGTTTGCCACTGGTGCTCTTTTGTAGGCAACTTCTGCTTTGGCTGCTCTGTTGGGGATACAGCCTTTTAAAGTGGGACTTCCTGCTGGGGAGGGGGAAAGCTGACTTTTTCCTCCATCTCAGTACATTCACTGGAGCTGCTGGGGGTCTGGCCAGACTTTTCCAACCCCACTGCTTTTTCTGGTGCTGCTGGTGTTGTTGGTGATGGTGCAAGATTTTGAAAGGTGTCTTGCAGCACCATAGAACCAGAAGAGAAGATGTCAGCCCTAAACCACAACATAAATCAAATCGCCTCCATAGATCATCACATTGGGAATCTCCATAAAACTTTTCCTGGTCAATGTGACTATTATTTCTACATCATTGGTTGTGATGTTGGTCTTACTTTTGATGAACAAGATGTTGGCAATCTCACTAAACTTTACAAAGACATAGTGGAAGTGCTCCTCAGTAATATATAAAGGAATCCCATGCAAGATCATGTTTGTCTTCCTTATTCCCATATATTCTCTCTGCATTCTCACTGACTTTGTTATGAGAATGCTTCCGGACGGTAATTTAGCTGCATCTTTAGTTGCTAGTAGGATGTCCCACATGGCATTAGTTCTTCAGGCCAACACTTTGGCCTCAATATTGATGCTTTTAGAGCTTCTTCTATTGCCTCTTTGTTGATTTGCTGATCAATATTTGTGCTGTTATATCCGTTTTCAACAGGGAAATTGTCTTTGTATTAGTAGCTTCAAGAAGAAGTGAGAACACTGGTAGTAGTTCATTTCCTTTGACAAATTCCTCATACTGCTCTTTCATCCTGACATAATAATTTGGTCTTTTCTTTTGGGGCCTATCTGCTGTCTACAAAGAAGGGCTTGCTGATGTGGATGTCAGTTGTAGTTGTTGGGAATCCATCATAATGGTGGTATTCCACATCACTGTACACAATCAAAAAAAAAAAATAATTCAAGTGACGAAAACAAAAAGAATGGCTAGACAAAAAGAAGGATGAATATAGACAAAATGTAACACTTATTTTTAAACAACTTGAAATTAACTGCTGTAAAAACATTCCAGTCTTACTAGGGAATAACTACAAAACACTTGCCACTTTGCTTTTATAGGCAAAAACAGAAAATGCATGCTCAAATTTTTTTCCTTAGCCAATAGGCTGATTTATAGTTTGACATGACTCAGTCCTGATCTGCCTTGTCTAGAAGACTAAATGCTACATTTGCTTGTCTGAACTTGCTTTTGTGTGTAAATGCCATTTCTTAGTTTAGAACTGAAATTTTTCCCTTCTCACTGTTAATTTACCTTGCATATATTGTTTGATTGCTTGCTTGATATTATTTCATTTTTGCCCTGTTCTGTTTCTTTTTTTTGTGAACTTTGTTAATTCTGTTTGTTGGACAGTTCTGTTATTTATTTTGCATTTGACCATGGCTGCTCACTCCACAGTAATGGTACAACTTGAGCACTGTAGATTTTATGAGTACATTAATGTGTGTTTGGATGATTCTAATTTGCATTTGCATTTAATCTTTGCATAGGTGGCAATCTTGCTAACATTTGATTCAGTCAAATAGGTGTTGTACAGATTTTAATAGTATCAAAGTTTTATTCTAATATTTACTGCAGAAAAATTAAGCCACAGAGGTACTTTTTACTTATTAATAATTATTTAACTGCTATATGACAACAAAGAAATTAAGTACAGAAGAATGAATAGAAATCATTCTTATATTTCTTGTTTTTGTGGCCAAGAACTTTCTGGATTATTTCAGATGGGTGAAGACACCTCATTGTCCCTTGTTTATGTTAACTAATTAAGAACAAATGAGCATCTAAAAGAGGTCATCACATTAGAATTTCAGAACATCAGAAAATCCTATTTTACTTAAATACTTAAAAAAAAATCATGCATCAGACATTTGGAAGAAAGTGGCAACTAATTTGAACATCTTTAATATCATTAGTTTCATTAATAAATTATTTCTGGAACCTGATCTTTGGTTCATTCTGTATGGTTTAGATACATATTTAAAGAAAAGATAAAACTGCGTGAGCAACAGATAAAGACAAAAAGATGTGGTTTAAATGAGGAAAAAAAACCCAGAAAAACTAGGAAAATTTTATCACTGTTAACCCTTGTTCCAATAATTTCTGAATCAACTGCCTCTCTTTTTAAGAGTAAAAAAGGAAAGGAATGAAAAGAAATATATCTTTTCTCACCTTTTCTGGGGTTCTAAAGTTTGGGCCATCACCTTGATTGACAAAAAGACAAAGAAAAAAAAGCACAAAACTAAACTGAAATAAATGCCACTTGCACATTTTATTATCATTACCTTTTCTTTGGCTCCACTCCACCCATGTAACATATCTATTACAAAACCAGAGCTTCTTTCTTCATATCTATTTATTCTTAAAACCATTCTCCTATAATGCAACTCACTTCTACATTTCACCTTAATAAATTCCCCTCTCCTGCTGTCTTCAGTTTGTTTCATTTTCTTCTTCCACATTAACTTGTTGACAGAAAGGAAGGTAAGTTTATAGAACATAATTTTTATCTTCTTCCCCTTCCTTCATGCCACAAACTATTAAAAATTAAAACATTTTCATAATGTTATAATCCAGTATTCTTAATCAAAAATATTTCCTATGAGGCAAACTAAAATTGAAGGAAATTCAACTTACCTTTGAGTCATACTTGCATTAATCTGGAACATACTTTGCAAAATGGAAAGAAAAGCAGCAGAAATTGGAGAATCACGCACCTAAAAGAAAAAAAAGATTATAAAGATTGTTATTTTTAGACAACTTTCTGAAATAATTTTGTAATGATATGTAAATGTAAGAATTTGATTACTTGCATATATAGACAAGAAACATTATATAAATTGTAGTCATGAGAGAGACAGATTTGGTGAGTCGTGATTGCAAGTGACTTACAAATACTAATACTACACACCACAATGTCATTGCCTATAGAATGCCAGTTAGCCAGAAAGGACCCTGACTTTTTGGACACATGGTGAGAGTGCTTTGATGCAAGTACTAGAAACAAAAAGTTGAAAAGCAAAGCTAAAGGGGAAGAAAACAAGGTAATGAACTTTTTTTATGGTGACTGTTGGAGTCAAGACTATTAGAAACATTTCAGTATTGGCCCTGTAATGAACAATGAGAGGCTTACTGAAGTTTTATTGAACTACAATATGGCCACTATGTACATGCCCTTTATAGACATAGTGTAGAAGAGTTACTATAGAGAGGGAAGATAACTCAAATGGATTTATCACCACATTCTTCACCACTATTTTATTTTATACACAGGGAATACAATCCTCAAATTACTGGGCATCTTGCAGGTCCTTTATGATCATCAGAGTGACCCATCATCCATGGGTCTTTCTCATAATTCCTCTTCCGATGAGATCTTAGTCTATCTGGCTTTGGGCTTAAGAACTTTGATCTGAAAGTGCTTTCACCTTTTTTGGTACTCAGCCTGTTTCCCTTCTGAAAGAGAAAAGTCAGTATCAGGATAAGCTCATTTCTGGTATACTAACTGTTTACTAGAGCTAGTGTCACATGGGGAGGGTTCTGACCTTGACAGCTACCAGCAATCAATGAGGGGAACAGGGAGTAATGTCAGCAGTGTTTGATGTCCTGGGAGTGGGTATCATGAGTTTTGTTTCCTGCACTGTTGCAGGTCCTAATTCCTTTCCTGCCAGTACTCCTGCATACTGGAGTTTTGTCTATTAGCTCTTTTTTGTCCAAAAGGGGATCATGCTTGCTTTGGTAAGTATGGCATTTCAGCAGCACTGTTCTATGTTGTGAAAGCCATGATGGGAAGGAAGTATCGATAGAATTTTTTCACGGGAAAGAGAAGACTTCTCATATTAGTTGCTGTGTACAGCAGCATTCTAATGGCATATAAGCCTTCATGGAGGTGACTTCCCCAAAGGTCTACTGAACACTCATGGTTAGCCACAGCAAACTGTATTGTCTTCCAGATTAAGCCATTGTATCTTTTGTATTGGCCATTGCCTTGAGGATTGTATGGCGTTGTCCTACTTATATTCTTGTAAGAATTGCTTGGACATTATGAAATAAAGGTTGTGCCCCAGTCAGAGTAAATGTACACAGGTATTCTGAAAATGACAAAATACAAACAAAGGGCATGAACCATGGTTGCTATGGTTATATGTAGACAGGAAGTGGTGAACAGAAATGACAGTACTCATTAATAATCATTAATATATCCCTTAGACCCGAGAACAAGTCTTTCAAAAGGTTGGTTGGCTTTTATAACTGTTCTGGTGTTTGGCCTGTAGAACCTAGGTTTGACTTCCACACATATTTGGCAGGATTTTACAGCTCCTTTTACATCTGATTCAAATGATATGGAGCATTCTCATCATGCCAGGATGGCACAGTTCCTTAAGTAGATTGAAGAGAAATTCTCTACTGGTTATTGAGCCATACACCCTTGAGAGTAACCTCTTGAGACTGCAGCATTTTCTTTACTGATGATATATTACATCTAATGAGGAGCAAGAAAGCTCCATTCTCCACCTTGCAATTTTTTTGTTTTTTATTTTGCTTTTTTGGGGGTTGAACATAAACTAGACTAATTTCTGGTCAGTAATTAATTTGAAATGCTGCTTGGTCAGGTAATGCTGCTATTTCTTAGTACCTTGACAACACCAAAGGCCTCTTTTTCAACTGCTAAGTGTCACCACTCTGTTCTTCTTGAAACAATGCTACAGTCAACCTGATTGTCTTAATAAGGCAGCTATAGCACAGTCCAATTCATCAATATAAACCGCCAGTGACACAGAAGTGTTTACAGCTATGACAGCAGCCTTAGCAATGGCTCATCTTAGATCCTCAAAATTTCTGATGGCATGAGGAAGCAGTGGAAATTTAAAAGCTGTTGTTAATGGGTGTACTTTATCTAAGAATGAAGGTATCCACTAGGTGTAATGTGCAAACATCCCCAGCACCCATCAAAAAGCAGGTAAATTACCTGTGATTAGCAGGTTAAAAAAGGTTTAAACATTCTGTCTGGCTTCATCTCACCTTTCTTTACAAACATGTTCAAGTAGTTTGATGGTATTTTGTCAAAAGAAGCATTTATCATCAATTTTTAATGTCATAAACTGTTACAGATTTCTATCATGGCTGGTTTGATTATGGCTGCATAGAGTTACATTAAGTGAAAGTGCCTTCTAAATTTCTCTTGAAATTATTTCATCTATTGTTCTTTGAAAATTGGCCATGCTGTTCATTAGCCCAAATGGAATCCTGTGAAACTGATCCTGTCAACTACCCACCTTTAATGCCATATAAGTTTTGTCATTAAATCCTATGTCAAACCTGGTGGTAAGCACTTTGAAGATCCAACATGCTATATACATGATATTTGTCAATACAAGATAATGGATATGCATCCAACAGGATGATTTTATTGATAGTCTGGGGGTAGTCAGCAAACAAATCTTTTTCTGAGGACATGACAAGGAATTGTGCTCTTCATGGAGACAGACTCACTTCTATAATTCCTTCTTTAAACATTCTTGTAATTTCTGTATTAATAAACTGCTTGTCTTTTGTATACTGTCTTGATTTTATAACTATTTGTCAGGAGTCGTTGGTAATGAGTGATGGGTAAGGCATCATATCTGTTGTTAGTTCACAAATATTTAGGGCTGGTTTGGGTCCTCTGAATGGTATCTTGATAAAAGAGTGTTGCTGAAGGAAATCATGACCAAGTATTGTGTCGCAGCAGTGATTCCTCATTATTAAGAAATAACCCCCATGGTATGAGAATACATTAAATTTCAGGCCCACCAGACAGTATCCAATTATGTGAGACAATAATGCAGCATTTGCCATGGTTACTTGCCTGGAACAAGAAAAGGTTCCCAGTGGTTTGACTTTGCAGTAACTGCATTGATAAAATTTTCCATGCCACCAGTGTCAATCAGAGAATTAATAGGAATTCTATCAATCTTAATTTTTATAATTGTTTTTGAAAGGCAACTAAATGATGCCATCAAGAATGCACAAGGGACAGAGACTTTCTTACTTTTATTTTTGCCTACACTGTGACCTGGTTTTCTACAAGAACGATAATCATCTTTTGCTGGGCATGATGATGGGGGGGGTAATTTGAGCCAGCAAAAAATACATGTACATCTAGCTGAGACAGTGTTTATTGGTAGTTCAAGAGGGTCCTGGATGTGAAGCAGAGGGTAGAAATAAGAGGAGGTTTTTCCGTCTTTACAGTAGTGGAACTTTGTGGTTTAATGAATAACCCTGCTCAGCTATCTGATCAGATCAATTAGACCTGACCAAAAACGTTTATGTCCTCTTAAGAGTTTTCCAATCCCAAGATAAAGCAGGATAACAGTGAATAATCAAACTATTTTCTTATTATTCTCAATGGGTTCAAAAATTCTCTGACCAAATTAAACCCTTAATAATAACTACTTCACTCCCTCTAAACTCTAATCCTGAGAAAGCATTCAAGGACCTTAAAGATTGAAAAGGCCCTACTACATTCTATTGGTGTTACGATTATGACATCATAACCTGGCAAAACAATATTCCTGCTAACATACTCTCTCATATTCACTGTGGAGCCACTATCTGTGATAAGAAATTGTGAGAGCTACATGTTTGCCTTTGTCAGCCTGGTGCAGCAAGGTTTGCCCATTTCATCAAAATAAGAAATTTACCATTCTCTGTTGAAGAAATACGAGAAGTATGTCAAGACTGTCCTGAATGTGCTCACTTGAAGCCTATTCTCCAGATTCTATCACCCTTAGTAAAACTACTCAACCTATGGAGCAACTTAGCATAGACTTCAAAGAGCCATTTCCCTCCTCCTCTAGAAACTTTTATCAGCTAACTATTATGGATGAATATTCCTGTTTCCCATTCGCTTTTGCCTGTCCAGATTTGACCATGGTCTTGGTTATGAAATGTCTGAACCAGATTTTCACTGTGTTTGGGACCTCTTCTTGCATTCATTCAGACCGTGGACTCTCATTTCAATCCAGAGAGATGAAAGAATATCTGGCTAACCTTGGCATTGCAACTGAGCAACTTCCTATAATCTGCAAAGAAATGGACAATGTGAGTGGTATAGCAGGATAATATGGTAGGCTATTACTCTGTCATTAGTTTCCAGAAACCTTGGTACCTCGCAGTGGGAAATGGCATCTGAAGTACTGCATTCAATCAGGTTGCTGCTGTGTACTGTTGCCAACACCACTCCCAATGAGAAACTGTTCCAATGCCAACACCAGTCCCACAGTGGACACTACTTACCCACTTGGCTAACCATCTCTAGCCACTGTGTCACCATGTCCATAATAGTAAGCATGACCTACTGGTGAATGAAGCAGATTTAATTGAGGCTAAGCCTCAGTATGATTCATTGATGGATAAGAAGTGACTGCCTCTGCTTGTAACTTAGCTCCTGTCAGGGAAGATAGGCTCCAAAACTCTTCAACTGAAGTCATATTTAGATTCAGCTTCTAAGGAACACCTATCACCTTTCTCTGTATACCCTGGTGGTTTGGTGTCCATGCCACCAGCTGAGCCTGTAGTCAAAACACTGTGCCCTCAGAGTCTACAAATACAACATTCTACTACTGGACCAGTGTGGTGGTCTACTCAAGAGTGACAGAGGCTTTTGTCACATGGGCTACAAAACAAAGGAAAATATGATTTTATATATATATATATATATATATATATATATATA